AGGAAGGAAGGAAGGAAGGAAGGAAGGAAGGAAGGAAGGAAGGAAGGGGAGGGATGGAAGAAGGGAGCTTAGTAGTACTGGGAGGAGACAGAGGGAGAGGGCTACAGCTGGGATACAAAGTGAATAAATTGTAATAAATAAAGAAAAAAGAGAAAGCATTTGATTTGGGAGTCATGGTTCCAGGGGGTTAGAGTCCATGACTACTACAGCTGGTAGCATGATCGCAGCTGGTCAGCATGGTGCTGGAGCAGGAGCTGAGAGCTCACATCGTCATCTACAAGCACAAGGCAGAGAACAGTAACTGGCATGGTGTGGGCTTTCTGAAACCTCAAAGTGCTCCTGCAGTGACACACCTCCTTCATCAAAGCCAACCTCCTAATCCTTATAGGGATCATTCTTATTCAAACTATCACAAGTGTCTGTAACTCTAGTCCCAGGGATCTGATAGCTTCTTTTGTCCTTTGAGGGCATTATGCCCACAAGAAATTCAGACATACACATAGGCAAGACACCCATACACATTTTGTTTTTTAATGAAACAAAACAGAATAAAAGAAAAGGGAACTGAGAGTTAAATTCCTGGGATCCCACGCATGCTGAGCAAACACCACCTCTGAGGTATACCCCTGTCCCCTCTGTCCTTCCCTCCTGCTAACTTTTTTTTTTAATGTTTACTTGATATAGATCACTACTCATCTGTGATGGTTATTTAACTGTCAACTTGACACAATGTAGAACCACTTGGGGCCCGTCAGTGGGCATGCCTGGAAAGGACTTTTCTCTGTTACAGTAATTGCTGTGGGAAGAGGAAGCCCACTGTGAGCAAGACCCATTCCCTGGGTTGGTTCTTGAACTACGTAGTGTAAAGAAGGTTTGAGCACAAGTAATCATTCATCCATTCATCTCTATCTGCGCTTGACTGTGGACATAATATGATCTGTTGTCTCAACTCCCTGACACTGTGACTCCCTGTCATGATAGATGTACCTTGAAATTTTAAATTGAATAGACCTTTTCTCCCTTAGAGTTGCTTTTGTCAGGGTATTTTATCAGTGCGTGCGCATGATCAGACTACAGCCCTCTTTAAGGATGTCCTAACCACATCAGTCTTTCCCAAATCCCCTACAGTATACAGACCTAGATTCTCTATTATGTCCATCAGCCATCCAAGTAAATCATCTTTTAGGATGAGTAACTAAACTGGGAGGTGATGGCACACACCTTTAATCCCAGCACTTGGGGATTAAAGCAGAGGCAGCTGAGGCAGGTGTTTGAGGGCAGCCTGGTCTATTGAGTGAGTTTCAGGCCAGCCAGGACTACACAGAGAAGCCCTGTCTCAAAAAAACAAAAAGGTAACTAAACAATGTACACACATATAGAGAATTCAATTTAACAATAGTTTAACAATAATTTTATCTGGTCCAAATTAGAAAACCTGGAAGTGGCAGGTCAATAAATTATAATAAAATCCTGAAAGAATACTTATCTCTGTGACAAAATCTGAAAATCTGAAAATGACATTTAAACAGCAAATTTGATAAAATCTTGAGAGAATAAATCTTAGCAGTATCCCCTTACTATGACTAAATCAGGGCTGGCTAGCTCAACAAAGACTTTCGCATTCCTGGCTCAGGAAAGCCCATCCTGTTCGAGGAGTGAGGTCCGACTCCACTTCTCACCTTTCCAAACGCAGATGCCCCAGCACAGATGTGTGTGTAACTGAACTGCTTCTGAGTTTCCAAAATCAATGGCGTCAGCTCCTCTGAGAACGAAACACATTTGGTAAAGGCATCTCATGCTATTTTCATAATCATATATTCCAGCAGAGCAGGTACTACATTTCCCAATACCTCACCTGGAAGGAGGCCTTTGTACACATCATGCTGAGCCACCAAAACCTTTGCTACGCCAGCTACTTTACAGAGGTCCTGTGCCACCTGTGACAGAGAGAAAAGGGTCTAAGCATCCACTAAGAGAAACACTGAAGCACTGGTAAATGCTGACCAAGCATAAAGTCTTAATGGCCAAGTATAAACATTATTTTTGTTTGTTCTGAGATGGTGAATGCCCCCCAACAGGCTCACAGTCCCTAGTTGATGAACTATGTGAAAGGATTAGGGGGTGTGTCCTTGTTGAGAAGGGGTGTCAGGGTGGATTTGAGGTTTCAAAAGCCCACACCTGACCCAGTTCCTCTCCCTCCCCTTCCCTCCCCTTCCCCGATCAATCACTAAATAAGAAAATGCTCTACAGACTTTCTTATGGAGGCATTTTCTCAATTGAGGCTCCCTTCTCTCTGATGACAACTGTCAAGTTGACATAAAAGTAGCTAGCACAGCCAACAAGAATAATTTTTTAAAAAATAATAAAAATACTGCTTTTTTATTTTGATCTTGTTTTGCATTCTTTTTCCCCAAAAGGGCCTTGCTACCAGCCCTGGCTGGCCTGGTATTCACTATGTAGCCCGGGCTGGCTTGATCTTGCAGCAATCTTCAACCCTCGGTCTCCAGAACAATAGAATTACAAACACGTGTCACCATAGTAGGTTTTTTTAAAATTATTCTTTTTTTTAAATAAACATTTAATTTTTTTTTAAATTATGTATATGGGGAGGGCATATATGTGCACAAGAGTTAAGGTGTAAGATGCCCTAGAACTGAAACTATAGACAGATGTAAGCTGTCAACATGGGTGTTGGACATCAAACCTGGGTCCTTAGCAAGAGCAGTCTCTATGCTTAAACACTGAGCTATCTCTCCAGCCTTTTCTTAAAAATTCTTTATCAAAGAAAATTGCAAATCAACTGATTTTACTATGAACTGACTCACCTAATTAGTCCCACTAAAATATTCTGAATTAAAAAAACAAAACAAAAAAAAAAAATGGGCAAGAAAGATGGCTTAGCAGCACTTACTGCTCTCAAAGGTGACCTGGGTTCAGTTCTCAGCATCTCCATGGCAGCTCACAAAACTATCTGTAACTAACTCCGGCTCCAAGCGTTCTAATAGCCTGTTCTGGCCTCCAGGGCACTGCATGCCTGATTGCTATACAAACATGCTGACAAAACTCATATGCATAAAACAAAAATAAAACATTTTAGTACTAATTGATGAACCAAAATCAGCATAGTCTTTTCCTTAAACTAAGCTGTAAACTATGCTTTTTCCTTGATGCTAACTTAAGTACATTATTTTCGACAGAGAAAAATGACAACTGGATGTGGTCCCCAGCATTTGAGAGGATGAGGTAGTAGGATCACAAGCTAGGCCAGCTTGGGATAGAATGACATCCATCTCACAAATCCAAAAAGAAACAGAAAAAGAAGGGAGAAGAGGAGGAAGAAGGGACAGCTCTGATGAGATCTTCATCTATAGTAACAAAGCCAATGAAACTTTGGACTCAGGACCTGTTAGAAATGAGGACAGAACTTTTCTAATGTCAGCAGATTTGACAATAATTTTCTGAGAGTATGACTAACTAACTCCAAGAAATAGAAATATTTCCCATTTTCAACATGGAGTTCCTGACTACACACAGACTTATGTACAACAAAGCAAAGTGTTTTCTTATTTAACTTCTCATTTTTCCTGTTTGGAATCAAAGGATTCTGAGAAAGCTTTTGACTACTCTGATTTTCTGTACACAGAAAGCAATTAGCATTCTCTCTTTAAAGTAACTTTACTATGAGTGGTTTCTGCTTATCAGTCTCTTCTGCCATTCTGTCTTCCATTTGTTAACTCACTGACGAGTGGACACAGCAGGCTGAGCCTTCGACCCTCTCCCACAGACTAAAAGGCTCCACGGTATCCTCTGAAAGGAGGCGCGGGGCATACTCTGCCGGCTGGGAGATAGGCGGCACACCCACACTGTCTTACAGAGATGCACCAGTGTTAGCCTCTCCAGTTTAAAGAAAATTCCTATTAAGAAACCAACTTAACTCGTCAGGCATGGTGATGCATGCCTTTGATCCCAGCATTTGGGAGGCAGACTCTGAGTTCAAGGCTAGCCTGATCCAGAGTTCCAGGACATCGAGGGCCAGGGCTCTATACACAAAGAAATCCTGTCTCAAAAAAAAAAAAAACAAAAACAAAAAAACAAAAAAACAAAAAACAAAAAAAAAACCCTCTTCTGCTTTCTTTTGCTTTCACTTATTCCTCTCTCTCTCCTCTCATGCTCTGTCTCTCCGTTTCTACCTGTCTCTTTCTCTCTCAACCCTCAAGGCTTACTCAGGTCCTAACTCCTCTCTCCCTCCCTGCTCTCAAATAAACCTCTTTGTATCAGAAAAAAAGAAAGAGGAAAAAAAAAAATAACCCACTTAATTCCAAAGTTGCTACACAGCAGCTTGGATATAAAGTAAAACAGAATTTCTCATTGAAAAATTTTTTTAACTGTCAAAACTTCCAGTATTAAATAGAATAATCACCCTCAGTTTATGATTAACAGCTAAAGAAAACAATAGAAAATTAAAATCTGCTACACTATCAGACATCTTTCTTAAAAATAAGAACATGACATACACAAGACTGCAACTGATTGAATATCAAGTATGTTAAAGTAATTAGTTAAAATCACAGCAAACTAAATAAATCTAATATCTGCTTATATTTGAAAACTGAGCAAACAAACAAAACAATTAACCCTATCACCAGACATTGTGGTAAACAGCAACTGTATAAGATTCAATAATCCAATAATCAGCTGGGTGGTGGTGGTACACACCTGTAATCCCAGCACCTCGGAGGCAGAGGCAAATGGATCTCTGAGTAAGGCCAGTCTGGTCTACAGAGTGAGTTCCAGGACAGCCAAGGTTACACAGAGAAACCCTGTCTCAAAAAACCAAGCAAAACAAACAGGCAAAAACAAAACAAAAAAACAAAACAAACACAAAAAAAAAAAACTAAGTAAAAAAGATTCAGTAATCATCAAGAGAAAAGAGATAAAAGAAATCCACATAACCCCAAACCTGCTGAATATAGTCTTTTAAATACCAAGTTCATACAAGGAATTAGAAGTGACACAAGCATTCTGAACTTGCATTACCACCTACTCTACATCAATAATTTAGTAAAATACATGACCTGCTAAAAAAGAAACATTTTCTCTCTACACTCACTCCTGCATGAGGGCCAAGCTCCCAGTCATGCTTAGTAACTCCCGACAAGTCGGAGGGGAACTGGGAGCTAAAGCTCTGTGGTCTTAAAAAGCTCTTATCTACTCAGCAGCCTAAGGTACAGATCCTGCAAACCACATTACAGAATAAACTTTCCCAAGAGTTAGCTTCCAACGCTGTCACTTAACAACCACAACAAAACCAACCTTTACTACCAGTTGTAATTCGGGAAGAATTTAAATTCTTCTACCAATTACATATTAGCACCTCTGATACTTTGCCCAGATTGCCCACTTTCTTGAATTAGAAGCAATTAACAAGTATATTCATCAGATCAAAAGGGATCAGCTATTAACCTCTAAGGGGACTCAGATATTGTATTCTACTTGGTACCTGGTGGCACAGGATGGTGCCAGCAGAACTAAATCAAGCATTCCAAATCATTTTGAAATATAAAATGCTTCATGAAAAAACCTTCTGGTTCTTCATTCATACACAGTAAAGGTTATGCCACTGGCCATTTAATGAGGATTAGAGCCCAGTCTGGGTTAGGGTCCTCAGCATAATTCTCTGTTGCCATCTTTCACAGTCTCTTGATGGAGATTATATTTGCTATGGCTGACCTTAAAAATCTCTCACCTTGTCACATTTGGTTCCAGCTACTAAGCAGGACACTTCCCCTCCAAGACGTCCAGCTGCAGTGATGGTATTTAGAGTAATGGGTGCTAGAGAGTCATTTGCATGCTCAGCTATTACCAAGGTACTCTGAAATCGGAGCAATGAAGCCTAAAAGAAAAAGAGAGCAATGTTAGTATAGTCTTTCAAGGTAACTCTTATTTAGCCTTTCAAGGTAACTTTTACCAAGGCACATGGGCTTTAAAGAAAACACTTTGGAATGCAATGCTCAGTTATTTAAGGGTATTAATAAAATACTTCCTTGATGACATAAATTAAGCTGTATCTACATTTAAAATATCAATACCTAACAGAACCCAAAATGCAAGTTTGTTTCTGTGGTAGCTAGTCTTATGTCATAAGATCCAGCTGTAAAAAAAAAAAAAAAAAAAATTCCAGATGTAAGGCATTTTCTTAATTAGCAATTGATGGAGGAGGGACCATTGTGAGTGGATCCATCTCTGGGCTGGTGGGCCTAGATTCAATAACAAAGCAGATGAAGCAAGCCAATAAGCAACACACTCCATGGCCTCTGTATCAGGTCCTGCCTCCAGGTTCCTACCCTGTTTAAGTTCCTGCCCTGACTTCCTTCCATGGAAGTAGAAGCCAAATAAATCCTTTCCTCCCCAACTTTCTATTTGGTCATGGTGTTTCACTGCAGCAATAGAACCCCTAAGACTTACTTTTTCTTTCTTTCTTTCTTTCTTTCTTTCTTTCTTTCTTTCTTTCTTTCTTTCTTTCTTTCTTTCTTTCTTTTTTTCTTTTCCCTTCCTTCCTTCCTTCCTTCCTTCCTTCCTTCCTTCCCTTTTTTTCCTTCTTTCCTCTCATCCTTCCTTCCTTTTTAGATTTTTCTAGACAGGGTTTCTCTGTGTAGCCCTGGCTATCCTGGAACTCTCTCCAGGATAGACCAGGTTGACCAGGCTAGCCTCTAACTCAGTGATCCTCCTGCATCTGCCTTCTGAGTGCTGCAATTAAAAGCATGGGCCACCACCACCTGGCTCAAAATGCAAATTTCTTAACATTAGAAAAATACTTGTATCAAAACAATTTCCCCACTATGTCCAATAAATAACTGCTCAATTTAAAATCCTTAAATACAATATATTAACTGTCAAGCCAGGAATTGGACAAATTCTATCACCAAGTACATTCAGTTATATACCAGACTTCTAATAAGAGTATTAAGACATGAGTATATTCAGAAATAATGGGTTTAAAATCAGTTACTGAAGTTGATTCCCATTGATGGGGGGGGAGGCAGAATCATTCAATATAAAAGTAACTAAAAATAGAAACCTGTTTTTAAAAGATGACATGAAAGGTTGGAGATGGCTCACTTGGCAAAGGCACTTACCCTATGCCTCGGGTCCTGAGTTCCACCCCAGGTTCACATGGTGGAAAGGCGGCACTGATCCTACAAGTTGTCTTCTGACCTCCCTGTGTCTACTGTGGCATATACATGCACCTTCCACCAAAAGATGTAATTTTCAAAAGTTTTAAAGATACTAACCAGCAATTTTTGCTGGGGTTTCAACTGTTTGAATATGCTTTTGAATTAAAAGGGGGGGGTTTAATACTAACCTAGCCCTACCTAGCAAAGACTATCAAACTACCACCAAGATACAGTTCATGGCCACCCACCATGGTCCCTTGGTTCAAACACCAAGGAAGAAAAAGAAAAGTGAACAAGAATAGTCCCCATGCTCAAAGATTTCATGGAAAATAAGACTTGTCCTTTTCTGTTTGATGGACTTCAGCAAGGGCCTGGAGCTGGCTTTTGGATGGAGAACGAGGGAGGCAGTTCAATTCTCTCAAGGACAGCTAGAGCACTTTAGGGAGATGCCCATGTGCTAAGCTGAGGTGTGGAAATGTGTTTAGCTTTTAGAATGAGATCACCAGTGGCAGTGGAAACTCGGGGGTTCCAAAGTCTGTGGTGATACAAAAGTGTTACAGCTCTTGGTTAAGCGGCTGTGCTGAGCATTGGTCAGCTTGCAGCTGAGACCCAGGTCTGGCGAGTCCCAGCCCAAAGGGCTGGAGGGCGGACCCGGTGAGACTCAACCTGGTGGGGAATAAATGAGGAATCTCAGGTGGCCATAGTGAAAGGCTGATAGAATCATGCAGCCAGTCTGAAATCAGGGATTTATAAACCTTGGGCGGTGGGAGGGATTACAAGGGTGAATGTGTTTGATTTGCTGGGGTCAGGAGATCAGGAAAACTTGATTTACATGTAATGGTACAATGCCTCATTTTCCATGCATTAGCATGGGCCTATCACAAGAAGGAAAATAAGAGTACTTCATTATCCTAGGAATGAGGGGGAAATCTCCAAGTACAGTTGAAGGTCACTGCTTAAGACTAAGATCTTAAATGCAGGATGGACATTTCTAGGAATTCCTAGATGTTTGCTGGAGTGGGTTTTCTTATCAGGTAAGGGTCTGGCCTGTAATCTGCTTCTCAGGTACTAGAATTACTGCAAGTACCAGCAAGCTTTGAAGAATAAGATGTTACAGCCAACTCACATATCTATTCATATAAACTACTTTACAACTAAATTTCTTCAGAAAGGAATTCATCTTAAAGTCAGGAATGTTTACACACATCTTAAGATGAGAGATAAAAAAAAAATTAGAGATGAATCAGCAGGGAAAGGCCTAGCTACCTGACTTCAAACCCTGGAACCCATGTAACACTAAAAGAGGGAACCAACTCTACAGCTGTCCTCTGACCCCAACAAACCTCTCCTGGGGCGGGGGCAGTGAGGTGGTGCTTGCTGCAGCATGAGCTTGGCATCCTAAGTTCAATCCTTAGAACCCACATAAAGGTGGAAAGAGAGGACTGACTCCAATCATCCTCTGACCACCATGTGGATGCCATAGCAGACATGCACCGCCTTCTCACATACCACACACATATGCACGCATACACACTTTCTAATATTTAGAAACACTGCAAAATTTCTAAGTATTAGAAAGCATCCTTTTTACTACTGTAATGTATAAATTGACCTCTAAAGAGTCATTTCAGGCCCAAGTCAGCCATTCTCCAGCACTGTTCACTGAGCCTCAGAGAATAACTGAAAAATAGCTAGTTCCATTCTAGAGCGAAAGGTAAGGAAACTAACACAGTAGGTTAGTACACAGTTTAAATATGTTTCCACCTAACACTGTACCTTCCTTGTCTGGGTTTGGTAGGAAGTTTATTGAGGAAGATTCTAGAGAACAACTCCCTGAAGTCAAGGAGTGGGACTATGCAATAGGTTACACTGAACTGCACTATTGTGCAGAGGCAGCAGAATGCAGGGGAGCTCCAACAACGACCTAAGCCCTGAGATCTGGAAATGAAAGCAAGGGGCTGTAGTCTCCTTTTTAGACTATGTCCAGGTATTCTAGGACTTTCCCCTAAGTCCCAAGACCTCTTCTGTGTGTTCTACATTACTTTACAAGGAATCCACATTTTATTACTTATTTATTTACTTATTGATTTATTTGAAAGTTTCTCTGGCTATTCTGCATGTACGTCACTATGAAGACCAAGCTAGCCTTGAACTTACAAGACGTTTGCCTGACTCTGCCTCCCAAGTGCTGAGATTAAAAGGAGTATGCCACCATGCCCAACTCCACATGATTTTTAAACAGCCTTCCCCCCCCCTTTTTTTTTCCATAATATTGATTACTTGGGAATTTCAAATTATGAACCCCAAGCCCTCTCAATTCCCAGTCCTCCTAGGTCTGGCCCCCACCCTTGGGACTGCTCACCAAAAGAAAAAAAAAAAAAGAAAGAAAAGAAAAAGGACCAATTTATGTGCCCATATACTCACTGGTATATGGTCAAACTCCCAGTGGCCCACCCCTTAAAGAAAACTGAGTTTGAGCTGGGCATGGTGGCACATGCCTTTAATCCCAGCATTCAGGAAGCAGAGGCAGGAAGATTTCTGTGAGTTCAAGGCCAGCCTGGTCTTCAAGGCAAGTCTGAGACAGCCAAAGCTACACAGAGAAACCCTGTCTCCAAAACAAAACAGAACACCAAACCATCAACAATAACAACAAAGAACAAAAGCAAAAATAACAAAACACAGTTCTTCCCTACCTGTACCCCTACCAGAAGCCATCAATTCTCCAGAGCTAGACTTCAGTACCCTTATCAGTTTTTCAGAGTTCTCTTTGATGACTTTCTGTAGAGGCTGTTACTTTAGGGGGGGAGAAGTTTGCCACAGAAGCTGTCTATGTCCCTCTTTCTCAACTGAGTCTGCAGTCATCAATACCATGGCAAAAGTGCCTTCCTTGACTTTTACAGACTATGGGAGCATGGATCATGCGCTCCTACATGGCTTCTGGGAACAGCGCAACCACTGACATCCCTGGTGTCAGCAGATGTCACTGACCTCAGCATGGTCTCCTGTGGCAGTATAGACCAGGGACATCAACGTGGCCCTCTGCCACTACACGGGCCAATGGATACCATCACAGCCCATGGCAGCAGTACAGGCCAACGACATCAACATGGCCTCAGGTGGCAGCATAGCCATGGCCTCATTGGCATGGTGGTGCATACCTTTAATCCCAGTACTCAACAGGCAGAGAGAGGCAAACAGGCCTGGCCTATAGAGTGAGTTCCAGGACAACCAGGGCTGTTACACAGAGAAAAGCTATCTCAGAAAAAACATGCACACAAACCTCCAGCTTCAACATAACCTGAGGCAGCAGATTACAGATACCAAAGTGACCTCCAGGGACAGCACTGACCAAAGGTCTTTTGAAGAGGTCCAATCCAGAAAACGAACCATTCTGCATCCTGGTCAGCCTGTTGCTGCTCAGAACCAGGGCTTTCATGCAACTGGGCAGCATGTTCAGTGGCCAAGTTGGAGTGCAAGCTCCAGGCTATTGCACATCACTCTGTCAGCCTTCGTCATTGTGTGTCCTCTAGTCTTCCTATCCCCTGCAGCCTTCTCTAGTTCTGCCTCTCTACCACTCACTCATCACTCTATGCCTCTATCTTTCCCACCTCTCCATCAAATATTCATTCATCATAGTGGCACTGCCAACAGCAGTATGTCACATGGTATCATTCATTCATTCATTCATTTTGTCCAGACAGCTCTGCATGCAAATATTCACTGCAAGGAGTTGTTGGTCTGGTTCAAGGATTCTGGTTACCGAAGCACCATAAATATTGGACCATTGCTTAGACTCTTGAATTTTCTGCTGTTGCCCAAAGTCAGGGTGATGCTGCAGCTAGATAGGGCTTTAGGGGCAGGTTCTGTGCAGGTCCTGGCTGCTGCACACCTCTCTGCCATCAACGTCTGCAACCCAAGGCTTGCCAGGCTCGTCCTTTGTTTGTAGCCTGTGGGCAGCATTGCTGCTCTATGCCTTCTATCTCCAGCAGGGCAAGCAGCACAGGCCCCGACTGGCTGGTGGGCCTAGGGCCAGCCTCATGCAGCAATGACCTGTTTCACTGCTCAATGTCCAGGAAGCTGCACATCTCCCCAGGCTGGAATCCCCACTGCTCATCAGGAACGACCTTCATGCGTGTAACCTGCTAGCTAAGACATGGCAGTAAAAGATATAGATTCGTCATTCTCCGTGCCCACCTCTTTTGCTATCTTTCCTTCAGATTTCATGAGTCCACATTTTAAAGGCATCTTCTCATAAGTTCCCCCCCACATAACACTAGTTATTGCTGGCCCTGCAGACTCCTTTTCTGCTGCTATATCACCCACAGGGCCTCCATGGATCCCTCAGACCAAGACAAATCTCAGCAGCCACTGTCATTTTTCTCCTTCCCCTTAAATAGTTTTAAATATTCAAATTGATATGATGGATATTTGTTTCTACTTCATCATCAGAAACACCATACTAAAAATAAAAACATGTTAACACACATCACATGAACAAAATCAAAGCAATGGTAAGGTGATTGATTTAAAACAAAACTTTAAAAAACGAACATTTTTTAGATATTTCCGTGTATGAATGTTTTATCTGCATGTGTCTATGTGCACCTCCTAGAAACCACAGAGCTCAGAGGAATCCATCACATCTCCAGAATTAGAGTTATGGATGATTGTGAGCCCACCATGTGGGTGGCTGGGAGTCCAGCGCTCTCACCCAACTGAGGCATCTCTGTGGCCCGTTTAAAAAAAAAAAAAAAGCATTTATTTTCTGTGTGTACGTATACCTCAGTGAGCATGTGGATGTCACAGTATAACCTAAGGGGATTAGTTTTCTTCACCACGTAGGTCCCAGGGACCCATCAAATTACAGCTGTCAGGCTTGAAGGCAAGCAGCTCTACTCACTGAGCCATCTCAATGGTCTACTTTCTTGTTTTTGTTTTTTGAGACAGGGTTTCTCTGTGTAGCTTTGGCTGTCCTGGACTCACTTAATAGACAAAGCTGGCCTTGAACTCACAGAGATCCACCTGCCTCTGCCTCCTCGAGGGCTGGGATTACAGGCATGTGCCACCATTTTTAGTCTAAGAAAAAATCTTAGCTGGGTGGTAGTGCCCTGAAATCTCAGCTCCTAATAAGTCTAATATAGGAAGATCACATGTTCAAGGGCAGCCTGGGCTACAAAGTAACACCCTGTCTCAAAATAAAACATAAAAGAGGGTGAGTATAAAGTTCTATGGTAGAACACTTGCCTAACATCCTCAGTATCACAAGTAATGTACTAAAACATTAGAGAAAACCATCATTTTTATTATGGTGTAGTAAGAAGCGTAGCAAACCTCAGTTTGTTAAGACTATGAAATACCCTTTTAGACTTTCTCTGGCCCCCAAAGGATTTTATGCTCCCCATTTAAACATCTATTTATTCTTCCTACCCTGATGCCACTTACTGTGCCTGGCCTGTATCTTCTCCAGGCTACATGCACCAAACAGGCAAGGACTCGGCCCCATCTTCTTTCCCCCATGAATTCAGTATCTGCTTCTGTGCCTGGCACATAAGAGGCACTCAATGAATGTTGAGAGACTAAATGAAAAGGTTTTCCAAAGTATTTGGAACCTAAAGAGCAACAATTCCTGGATCATCTGAGAGTTAATCACTGTATTAACTCTTCTCAGTGATGTGACCCAGTAAGAAGCAACTTCATGAAAGAAGGACTTGCTCTGACTCTGACTTAAGAAGGCAGAGCTCACTGTGGCAGGGAAAGATGGCAGAATTCACAGGACTGGGAGCATGCTGCTACGATTTGTTCCTGGGGCAGAAGAGAGAAATGAAAGCTGGTATTTGCAGGCTTAGATTTTTATTTAATGTTTTTAAATACCTTTACCTCCCTTCCAACCCTCCCCTCTACACCTTAGGTGGAAATTAGTAGGGCCAGGGGTTATAGAGCTCTTTATTTCCTGCTGATAAAGGTTGGTGGATTCTTTGGGAATTACCAAACTCAGTCGTCAGGATACCAGCAGTCTAGCAAAGCAGCAGCAGCAACCCGAATCAGCAAGGAACCATTCAGTAGAAGCAGCTAGACTCTGCCCAAATGGCATGAGCCCACCAAAGCGGCAAAACTCCGCCAAAGCATGAGCAGTTTACTCTGGAGCTTTTCTCTCTGTGAAGACCAGTGAAGAATGGAACCCTTGTAAAGTGTAGTAATGCAAAAGCATAGATAGAGATGCAGAAAGCATTGTTTCACATCTGTGGGCTTTCATTTAACCCCTCTCAGAAGCCCACATGAGGATGTTTTGCAGCTCACAAAACCATGCCCCTTGTGCTAGGTAGCTTTCAGCTGACAAACATCACATGACCTCTCACGGGGGCTATTTTCCGAGGGAACAGTTTTCCACAGGTTAAAAACATTCCCACATCCCACACTTGGGACCAAAACAAAAATCACATTCATTCACATGACACAACTGAGTTTCCAAGAAACCAAAACCTTCCACTTCAGGTGCTCAAGTGGCTTTCTCCTTTTTCCCTGTTTTTTCCACTTAGAACCTCGGCTCAAAGGACGCTGTGCTTTCAAGGCAGGTGCTCCCGCTTCAGCTAAACAACTCTGTGAACACATTAAGAGACAGACACAAAGATATGCCTGATCAATGCCTCACATGTTTTGTTTTTAAAAAGGGTCTCAGTATATAACCCCATGGCCTGGAATTCAATATGTAGACAAGGCTGACCCCAACTCAGGAGATCTGTATGCCTCTGCCTCCTAAGTGCTGGAATTAAAGACTTGTGTTACCACTCTGGGCTCCCTAATCCATTCAAACTAACAATCCAATTGGCCATCACAAGCATCAAAACACATATAAGGATACCTAGGTAGTTAGTACATAACTTGCTAAGTCACTGACATAGATAACCCACCATGCTTCTTGGGAATTTATCTAGATACCAACTACATTTGGTTCCAAACAGTAAAATGTGTTTTTTTTCTTCTTCAGGTCAGCCTGTATAATGATTGGTCTTCTCAAGCAGCATACTTCTTGAGTGCAGTGTTCAAACAGGTCATCACTGTCCCTATGCCCTCTGAGAGCCAAGCTTATTACACCCACAGATCTCCCTGCTATGTCTCTTCTTTCTCTTCTTTACTCACAGCAAGCTGGCTTCCATCTCTACCACAGCACAAACACTCTTGATTAGTTAGTCCAAAGAACACATCTTGGTCCTTCTGTTATTCAAATTCAACACTGCTAACTCTGCTTTTGCTTTTCAGTTCTCATTACTGCAACTGCATGATCTATTACCCCTAAAACCTACTCATAAAGTAGTAAGAAGCATGCTAACCTATTTCTCCCCTAATCACCTTTAAGAAAGCAAGTGGAATAGGACATAGGGTACAGATATGGAGGGGTAGGGGAACGGACAACGATTTAAAATTTGATTACCTTTTGCTTCTTAACTAAAAAGCAAACAGAAAACAACAGAAATGAGCTATAAAATCTTGCCAAATACTACTTAAAGGGATTAAATAATAATTAAAGTCTCCTATCCCTATTTTAATATAATTTTCTCATAATAAAACATATATTACATTTATGTACTTAAACTACTTTAACCTCTTTAGTAATAAAACATGGCAGCTTTTAACCATGACTAGAAATGTCATATGACATTGATTATAATATTAAAAACAGCTGATTTACTTCGTTTTAAAAACAGACAAGACTCTTAGTAGACACACTGGCAGGTAGCATAATTTTAATGAAATCATTTATGCAATAAATTTTGTTTCAGAATCACACCAAAATTGGCTCTCTTCTTTCAAACAAAATTTAAATTTGCATGTGAATCATAGAGTTCAATATCATTCATCAATGCTGGGCAATGGGCTCTGAAAAATGTCCTGTCCTTAATAGTTCACAGCTTCTCAATCATGACAGTCTTCCTGTCTGCCAGTGAGCAAAGGAAGAACACTTAAATGACCTTAAAGTGTTGCTTCACTTACTACATAAATTTTTTTTTATTTGCTCTTACTAATCTACAAAAATGTTTTAAACAAATTAACAAATAACAGTTCATACAATAACTCATCAAGAACACCAACTAACCGCAAATCCTTGACTATTTTCCTGAGTGGACTATATAGCTCTATAACTTGGCACAAAACTACCTTCACTGATAGGTGTCCTAACATATCTAATAGGCAGAGACAGGAGGATTACCATGGGTGTCAGGCCAGCCAAGTCGGGACAAGATCTTATTGCAAACAGACAAACAAAATCACCTTATTTTGGATGACTTTGAGGATCTTCTCCAAAAGGACATTGCTTAGTGACACCAATCAGCCGAAACCAAAATGGCTTATATAGGAAATATGTTATTAGTAAAAACACGTATTTGGGTTTTTTCAAAGAAATCATAGCTACAGAGGTTTTGTTCCTGTTTGATTTTTTAATTTAGAGCAGAAGCTGGAGAGAGCACTCAGTGGATAAAGCGCTTGCCCAGGAAGTTTGAGGAACAGGGTGTGAATCCCCAGAACCCATGGGGGGTAAAAAAAAAAAAAAAGGCAAAGATTTGAGATAAATAAACTATTTTGGCTGTATAGTATCCTAAATTTATATAATTTATATAGCCAGATTAAATTGGTTCCCACTTTATAAATATGGGAAGAACTTGAGTAACAAAATAAGGGTAGTAAGAATGATCTTTTAAACATGGATCCCTGGATCTATAAATATATAAATAGGCAAGAAGGGAAATTTTTTCCTTAGCATAGAATGCTAAGTAATAAACAAAGGAATCGTGGATTAGAAAAATCATGGTATTATTTCTCAATTAAAAATCAAGTGCTAAAACTAGTAGGTAAAAATCTGTGAGAGGGATGGAGAGATGGCTCAGCAGCCATCTCTGGTTAAGAGCACTGGCTGCTGTTCCAGAGGTCCTGAGTTCAATTCCCAGCAGCCATATGGTGGCTCATAACCATCTATAATGAGATTTGGTGTCATCTTCTGGCGTACATGCAGGCAGAAAATTGCATACATGATAAATAAAATCTCTTTTAAAAATCTGTGAGAAGGGAGCTGGAGAGATGGCTCAGAGGTTAAGAACACTGGCTGTTCTTCCTAAAGGTACTGAGTTCAATTCCCAGAAATCACATGCAGGCTGAATGTTATATAAATAAATAAATAAAGTTTATAAAACCTTAAAAAAAAAATCTGTGAGAAACAGAGGCTTCACATAGCCCCCACTCTATCTTCTATCTATCTATCTAATTAGTTTAAAATTACACAGAAGGATATTTACTTAACACTGGGAAAACAGGGCAAACATCTTCTTACCTAAGTAACTAAAGTTAAGATCTTCACTAATGGACAAACTAGTGTCCTGTGCCTCCTAATACAATGTTCTGAGAGCATAAATCACACCTGACATACCTGGGTAACAGTCTACAAAACAGAAGTCCTGTGCTCCATAAAATTCCAATGTTGTAAAAACCAAGTTGAAAGGCTGAGGAGCTTTTCTAAAAAAGACTAAATCGGCCTGAAAACCAGAGGAACTGGGGTACCTTAGAGGGGGTGCTTCAAATCCTTGGAGATTCACTTGCCTGTTTTTGTTGTACTATGAATCTAACAGAAGGCATGGCTCTACTACAGAGCCAGTTCCATAGCCTCATCCTTGTAAAATACCTAGGGAACCATTTAGAATTAAAGAGTATGTCTAGGACGAATAGTTTAGAAAAACAATGTGTATGTACACTGAGAGGTAAGAGGAATGTGTCAACTGTTAACACCTGGTGAAATTTGAGGAAGGGTTCTGGGAAATGTTTGGGGTTTTTTGTTTTAGTTTTGTACTATTCTGGCCACTTTTCTGTACACTCGAAACTATTTTAAAATTTAAAAAGCTAAATATATGTTTTGTGTGTCTATTTGAGTGTATTCCAAACATTTGTTTGGTGCTTGCAATTCAAATCTTAAAAATACTAATGACTTCAGAGACAGTACCGTACTGTTTGACCTCTAATTTTAAAATAGGCCAAGGTCAGAACTCTTGGCAAATCACAACAAAAGTTTGGCAATGTTGCCTATGTATGAATACTGGCTATGTGAATTTTCCTATTAGCTCTACAAAATTACCAAATCCTAAATTCTCCTTACCACAGTTATGCCAGGCATAAAACTTATCCACAAAATTGCCTTCCAAGTACTGCATAGCTCTTCAAGTCAGTTTCTAGTGCTTGAAATTTTCCCAAAAACATGGTTTTCAGTTGCTTATTGGCTCTCTTAAAGGAAGGGGGTTAAAAAAAAAAATCTCGTGGGAGAAAGACTAGGAACGAGGTGTTTTAATTTTTTACAAGGAGCGGCAAATTTTATGGAGCAAAGCAGTAACACCCCCCCCCCCCAACACACGCACAAAGTGTTCAAACTTCCAAGAAGCTTGTGTGTCCCAGAGAGAAAAATCCCAGTAGTGATTGGGGGAAAAGACACTAAAATAATAAATAGGAGAAAAGTTGCAAGACATCAGGATAATTTATAGCACAGGGCTGATGATACTGTTTCTCTAGCAATCTAAATGTAAATGAGAAAAACCTACAAACTCCTTAAATTATTGACTTGGAACTGGTCAGCCTCCAACTGCTGTTCCCTTATGGCACTCACAAAAATGTTTTGTTTTGTTTTTCTCCTTTCTGTAAGTCCTCGGGAAACAGACGAGTGGTAAACTTCTGTCACCACAGAAAAGCCATCGAAACCTTCGCACTGCCAACAGTCCCCTGACTACTGAACCATCCGTCTGAAGGTCAAGACTGGACCCCAGGCTGCTGGCCCCAGCCCCTCTGCTCAGCCCTGGCAGCGGCGCGGGAGAGGCCGTCTACGCCGCCCCCTCCGCCCTGCCCGGGCCAGTGGGCGTTCAGGGCAGCCGCGGGGCGCCCGCGTTCCCAGCTACTCCCGGGAGGCTCCGCGGCGGCACTGGGGACGCAGATCCCTCCGGGCGCCAGACCCTAGAAGACCCTCGGCGGCCCGCGAGGACCGGGGCCGTGGGAACCCCGGGCTGGGGACGACCCGGAAGCGGTCAAGGGCGGGGGCTCCTGAACTTTGACCCGGGTCTCCGACGCCGCACCGCCGCTCTGCGGGGGTGGAAGGAGCCCGTGACCTTCGCCTGACAGGGT